ATGAATATTATACTTTACAGTATTTGATCATTATAGAATTTGATTATTTTCATTTCTTTTTATATAGGGAGACAAAGTTGATATGCATAATTTATTGCTATATGTGGAAGACAATTTACTGTTTTCACCCGAGCAATGCTATGAGAAGGAAACTGGTTCGCCTGAGTCTGTCGACATTAAAGTAGAAGAAACATCTAGCAGCACTTGTTTGATAACTCCACAAAGAACTTTAGAAAGCAAGTATTTCGAGGTTCCTTTAAAACAGGAATTATCTGAAGAAACTGATAAGTTAACAACTTTGGAAAGCAATTTACAAGATCAAGCTCAAGTTAAAATTCCCTCATTTCCACAATTTATTCAAACAAAAAGGAACTTAAATCCGTTTTTGAACGATGAACTGATCTGCAATCAGGATGAGATTAAAGTAGCGCCTGGAAAGCTATTGCAGTTGTGGAACGAAAACGTGAAGCTGCAAGTTCAAATAAGCGCAATATTTGAGATACTCTTTAGCAGAGTTGCAACTAATTCAGGAACAGGTGACAGTTCAGTGAAAAATAAAAATATTTTAGATCTAACGGAAGCTTTTTCACGTCTCAACGTCAATAGTAATTCAATGTCAACAAATTTAGAAAATGTAAATGTTACAAATCCATGTACATTTGCTACTAACGATGTACAAACTGTTGGCAATCTTTCTCGTGATTTGGTAAATGATAATTCGAATCTCAATAGTTACACTGATATCCTACAACATTCCCTTACCAAATTAAATTCATTTTACTCAGATATTGCTATGGCTGAAGGCAGTAATTTACATACAAGTCAATTGTTTCCAAATAAATCTATAAATAAGAATGCACCACCAGGATTTGAAAAGGTTGCTTTGGAAATAAATTTGAAAAATCAGAATAAATTAATGAACGGTGCAAACATTGCCTTACCGGAAACATTAGAAAAGCCTATGAACTTCAACATACCCTTAAAAGAAACTAATCCCTTCAAGGCTGCTATAATAAATCAGATGCAAACATCGCAAAAAGAATGTTTAAACAGCGTTGACTTGTTTATTTCAAACAGTACTCAGGAACCAGTTGTCAAACATAATTTTACGACTTTCGAAGAAAATGGTACTGCTATCCTAAATAGTAATCTCGGTAATTCAAAAAAAAATTCTGCTGAATATTCATTTGATTACCAAAAGTATTTTCCTACTTGCACTGTGAGCACTGCAGATAATATCAATACTAACTTAAAATATCTGCCCACTAATTACACGTGGCCTAATGATATCAACAATATGGGAATTACTACAAATGATCCTTCAACAATCCAAAGAACAGAGAGTAACAATACATATTCTTCTGAATATTATGATATCTATACACCATCATACCTCAGAAGTTGTTCACAAGAACACAAACCGAAGCAAGAGGAGGATATCATTTTAAGACGCCCCATTTCATCAGTAGCTAGTTGCATTGATCATACTCTAAATTATGGTAACAGTCGTATGAATACGTCGTGGTTAACAAGTAATAGTTTCTCGCCTTTCGTTCGAGACAATAAAAACGTTGACGAGGGATACCTAACGCGACCATCTACTTCGCATACCATGGATAGATTATCTCCGTTGGCACAAACAATAGCACATGTAAATCAATACAGTGAATCTGCAAAAATATGGTCCACGTCGCTTGTAGACAAATCTGTGCAGTCTGATGACGGCGATAAAATATATTCACAGACCATGAAAAACAGAGATATAAAAGCAACATGGAATAGGAATCAATTGCAGAACAGCACCGACTATTCATTGCCAATAGATGCATCATTAGGTTGTTGTAAGCTATATATGAAATTAATTGGTAAGTATTTCTATAACCATAAGCTAGCAAATAAGTGGTGTATGTTACTTTTGTGATTTTTTTTCATTTAGAAACCCAAAGGTGTCAAATACATACAATTCATTACCAGAACGACGGGTGGCTAATAGTACACGAATTTATATCATTTACTGAGCATAAGAACATTTCCTACTTGTATGATGTTGTACGAATCCTAGATATTCATGTACCATTCATGGAAATTGACAAAACTCAGTGCTCGATAAAATTTGTAGATACAAACGGGTAAATAACAAATTAATTTAATCAAAAACTCTTAAAAGATACTTCATGGCTTGTTTTTACTAATAATAATATATTAATAGAAATTATTTTCATTGTATATTTTCGGAAGACTACAAAGATTCTATTTGTTTGTTTTAGTAGTTTGACACAGCAAAGTAAAGATGTTCTGAACAGTAGGGATAATCTTCATTTAATACCGTTAAAATCAGCATTGAAATTGTTGAAGATACTAAAAATTATTTCTGCACGAGACTTAAGCGATCTTCTTATCCATAAAAAATTTGAGACCGGGATTATGCACGACATTTGGGTAAATATAATAATACCCTTAATATTCATATAGGGTGTCCGACTTACATGTCTAACATTTTAATAGATGATTATGTAAACCTATGAAATATTTGTGACTTGTGATCGAACACCCTGCATATGGTATTCTCCGAATATTTTACAACGTTATAATATATTACACTGTTTAGATAATAATGTGTGAATACGGGAAATTCAAGTATCACATCGAAAACACAGGACGACTATGAAGTATCCGTTTTATACTTTTCTACGATTAATGCAAGTAAGACTACGTTAGTTATTGATGATATCTTTACGTTGCCAGTGGACTATTTGTTATTGTATGGGGGTGCAATTTAAACATACAGTTTTTTTAATTTTTTAATAATATAACACTTCTACCTCATGAAATGAAAACTTGTTAAGCTTAATTTGGAAATTATCCCGGTAATTTTTATTTCTATTTAGAACAAATTTTGTTGAATAATTATTACACACAATGTGCATATGATAACAGATTCATTCTATTACGTGTATAAGATATTCTACTATAATGTATTCGTATATAAGTATTAAATCGAGTATCTCGACGTCGTATTTTTCTTTCTTATCCTTTACCAATTAAGCAAAGAAGTAATTAAAACTAAATTGAGTTTCATATGTATGCGCTATTGGATACAGATAGCTCCATCTGGTGAAAGTTAGCTGTAACTTCGTCGACGTAAAAACCGAAGTGCGCATTGTCCAACATTGTTCATCGAATTGTGTTTAAAGTACGTCTGATAGTTGACAGTCTTGTTTCCTTCTACACTCTAAATTTAAATTCATATTCTTCAAAATTTTAGTGAAACAGATAGAATGGCAGGCGAAAGTTCAGACGAACCAAAGCTAACCGGATTATCGAAACACTTCAACAGTATCACTGATCGTGGTCGAGCAAATGTCAGTATAACCTCAACGTTTTGCGACTATTCGCAACGTTTGTCAATTTGATTTTGAAGTTACATGTGCCGCAATATTTGAAAATGTCTTAAAAATACTATTCACTTTTATAGGTTGCTAAAGCGACGTACACCGGACTTGCTTTGGTGGTTCTTTACATTTACTTAAAACCAAAGAAGAAGGCTGCCGCGAAGTAGGATGTAACCTCATAGATATATTACGTAATAATTTCTATACTGTAACTATGACCTGAATGTAATAAAAGAAGAATGGACAAGTACTGGATTATTAGTTTTTCCAATTCGCTGATTTATTTTTGTAAACTGTCTATGGATGAACAGCCTAGACGGTCCCAAGAATTTATCTATACGTTATAGCTTATTGCTTAAACTATTATTCTTCTCTGTCAACTGCGTGCGAGACTTATGCAATGATAGGAAGTAGTAGTCAATGTGTTATAGGTAATGTAAAATTTATTTTGTCAATGATATTTAAGACGTTGGGTATAGCGATCAATATTAATCGCAGACAATTGTATAAGTGATTCACTTTATTTATAATATACGTTGATGTCATTCTTATTGGTTAGACATATACATGTATATATACATATATAATCACAAAGATTTCCAATACAATAATAGCTTGATAGAAATTTTGTGACTAGACTATTACGTGTATAAGTTTAGTTCATGTAATATTTTCGTCGTATAGTTACAAGAGCGTTTTTTTTCCCTCTATTTAATTTGAAATTTCGTGATCCTCGTCAAATAGAAACATGATTTCTTTAGATCTATTAAAAGAATCGCTTAAAGAAATATTACAGCGGATTATTTTGTACCTCGATATTTACATGTGAGTTTTGCGTCTGTACGTCTCGAATAACGTTTACTTGCAAATAAAATTTCTATGAATTCGATGGAACAGTAATTCTTAAATGAGTTGATAATCCGAAGATCCCGTTTACGAGAGAGAGAAATGTGGAAAGAATCTAAGAGATCTACGTACTTATATACATATAATGATACAATATACATAGTAATTAGTAAATGGTCTCAGGTACACGTTTGTATGTAATTCTGAAATGCTAAGGTGTAGATCCAGAAGAATCAGGATACGCGCAGGTTTTCCTAATGACGTTACATCTCAAGAAACTACGAATCAAATGTAGTACGTCTTTATTTATTAGTGCAGAATAGTGTGTTGTAACAAAAATAAATATCTTCCCTCTTCCATCTGTCTAGTACACCTTAATATATCGGAATAATTAAAGATGCGATACGATGTACAGAAATACAATTGACCCGCAAAAGTGTTCGCACACGACGACAAACTTCACTCAATTTACAATATGTTCAAATAAAATTTTGTAAATTAAAATGTCTGATCATCGAGTTCTGTTGATCGGCAATTTTAATTAATATCATATACTTTCGACGACTCTTCTGTAGGATAGCAAAAATTGTTACTGCGTGCACACGCTTTCGCAAGCCTCTGTATAGTAAAGACGTTCACACTGGTAGTTTTCTTGCATATGCTTTAAATCAATTGTACAATTATTGTTGCCGGTTTGTTCATCGTAAGTGCCGGTGAGACTTAATAATACTGTATTCGCGTTTGCGTTTTTCTTCGGAGACAAGAAACCCGTCATCTTTGAAAGTTCTTGCGAGAACAACGAAAAGCTCTGAATCTGTTGGTCGTATAATCTTTCTGTAATTATGTTCTTTGGGAAATAAGGTATCTCGATGTCACGAGCGTGATTGCCGGTGCATCGGGAACAATTATCGAACATATGAAAATCTGTGATACACAAAAGTCAATGAGTCCGTATATAGTTGTATTTACAGTTCGCTGATGCGCGTGGCGCATTGCAATGCTTTTTCGTCACGTTTTTACATACACGCAGTTTGTCATATTGTCCTACTTACAATTACAAACGACCCGTGCACGTCCACGATAAACATTCATCATCGCGCCCGATGCTTTATTTTTCAGCGTACCGACAAACCATGCGAGAAGAGTCGCGAATATTTCGGGGCGACACAGTTTTCGAGTTTGACCGATGACCCGACACTCACAGAAACACGTCCATTTACATATTTATCACGCCGAAATGCCTTGTATACAATATATACACACGATAAAGCAGTCGCGCGTTGCATACCGAAATGCATCGCAGTTCGCGAGTTCGATTGATCGTCGAATGACAAGCATCTACAATCGAGCGTTACGTTTACGCTAAGGATAGGAGAAAGTGCGAGGACACGAACGACGGACGAAAAGAAACTGAAAACCGAGCTTAGATCCCAGTACGCTCGAGCACAAGATCCTGGATCCTTTCGCCGAGAGCCGATCGATCACAAGCAATCCGGACCTCTCACGGCAGTATCTCGCACCCGGAAGCCGAAGTATTTACTTCGCTACAGGACCGAGTCGTCCTTTTTGCTCCATCCGTTATGGTTGCTGGAGGTCCTCGACATTTGGCTGGGACTCCTGACGGGGCTCCTGGCAGGATAATAGACGCAGGGACCCGGGCTTCCCGGTCTCCCCGACGCCTTCAAGCTCTGCCTGGTGCTGCCGTTCGAAACGTTGTTGTTCCTGCTGATGGTGCTCGACCGGTTCAGATGATAGTGCCTGATCGAGTTCCGGAGCTCTATGTTGGTCATGTTGGTGACGATCGACTCGTCGTACGTCTGAAACTCCGGGCTGTCTCTTCCGGGACCGAACAGCTTCGGGCTGCAGAACAGCTTCAGGAATATCCTCTTGAACTTCCTGCCGAAGATCACGTAGATGATGAAATTGATGCTGCTGTTGATCGTGACGAGCAGGTTGCCCGTTTGCACTAACCAGAGCGGCGGGTCGTGCAGGAAGGTCTCGTGGATGTTCGAGGCGAGCGGCAGGATGTTGCAGATTAGGAATACGATCACCACGCAGAGCAGCATGGTCGCCAGCCCGATCTCCCGCCTCTGGTGTCGGGACAGCTGTTGCAGATCTCTGTTCGCCTTTCTCACCTGCAACACAAATCCTCCGGTGAATTATTCTCTATTACATTAGTCTCCGCGGTTGCCTCGACCTCTTACCAAGTACAAGACTACGATATATTCAAGTCGGAGGAAACATGATACTGTTACCCCTGGCAAAAGGTATTGAATTTTCTTTTAATTACAGTAATTTAATTCAGTTACAGTCACTATGTCAAATGACTAAAATACTTTCAACACACTCGCGTCATCTAGTCCAGCTTTAAAACGGTTATTGCATTTTGAATGACGCTCGAATACTTTTCGCCAGGAGTTGTAAATTACATCTATCCCGATGAATGATTAAATTGCAGGCGATTGCGGATCGTTTACTCGCGGGACGCAAAGTGTACACGATGAAGAAGCAAGGAGGACCGACACGAGATAATTAATGGTGCCTCGGCCGAAGCGGAAAGTGAAAAATGGCGACCGTGTGTTGGCACGGAGGCGTTTATTCCCAGCACTTTCTAGGATTATCGGGTGATCCGGGCATTACTTTGGGCGAGCGTGACAAACTCGACGAAAAAGGCGCGCGCCAGGTGCCACGAGCCCGCGAGTGCTCCCAGGCGGGGCTGTATCTTTATTGCCACCCTTATACTCGTTCGCCTCTGCGTTTTACCACTGCCGCCCCTCGCGAACGGTTTATGCGGGGAGCGACTCTCGTTTCTCACGAGATCCGCGAAATTTCCTATTTCATCCAGCCCTGGCGCAACGCGATTCCATCGGGAGCACAGGGCGCCTATCGATTTTACACTTTCGTTTCGGATAAAACCGTATGAAATTGAAGTAAGCGTAAAAGTTGTCTTGTTGGGATCACGACACCGCCGTCTACCTCCCTCCCCAACCCTTCGGTCCCTTCATCCCGGAGTCGTAAAGGGAGTGAGAGACTGTACACATTCGGGAGACGATGAACGCGCAACAAATACGGGATTCTCGCCTTGAGAATATGAAATTTGCCGACTCGTAAAACGATCTTCGTACGCGTGATGTATGCTTCGGAAGATACGCGCCGCTGCGGCGCGCCATTCCGTCGGCGGAGTTACGAGCGTAAATATGGCGGATCGGGTGGCTGGAAATCGTTCGCCTAACTTGCGCCACGGCTGGCCTTCCCGGGGGGAATTGTTTTTCGTCTGGACGCGAAATTTCTTATACGCGGCCCCGGGTGGGAACGCGCGGCATGATTTATCTGGCAAGACGCCATTTGGGAAATTGGTGTCGTCGCGTCGCCTAAGCGCGCATAATTTCTCCTGTCTAATTTACCTGCGATCGCAATAACGGGGATTGCCGTAGACGCAACAAGAAGCGATCGACTCGACAAATCTGCGCGCCAAATGAGACGAGCTTGGCGTGTTTCAGCGAGCACCGGTCGCGTGCGATTCACAGCGATAGAAAAAGAGGCACGACCGAAAATCGGTCACGAGTTTCGCCGCGTTCGCGGTGCCAGCTGCGACATGTGTGAATTACTTACGCGCCCGTGAATTTGGCACGCGAACGAGACCGCAACGTTTTGCGGAAACTGTAGTTTTCCGACCGGCCTCCTCTGCCTCGTCGCCGCTCGTCGAGAACGCGTACCCACGGGAACGCAGGAAGAGAGCTCCGCGATAAAGTTTGCGCCATCGAGTCGTGCGCGATGCTAGCCGTTCGCCTTGCATCGAACGGTTTATCGGGCAGAAAAAGCGAAACCCGCATGTGTCGGTTCGCGCGAGCATCGTTCGCGTATCGGCGAGCGTTTCTACAATTTTGCTTCGGTCGATCGCCGTGGGAATGGTAATGCGAGTGCTCGTTAGAATAGAATCGTACGACACGTTTCGGTGAGTCATTCCCGCCGAAATTATGGACATCACGAAACTGGGTTACCTATAAGGGCGCGCGTATTGTTGTACGGCGAAATTGAAACATCTCGAATGGTTCGGGAAAGTAGCACGAGATAATAGGGTAAACTCGGGTAACTATCTTGTTTGCTGGATCACAATAATCGAGATCCTTCATTTTCAACAATCTATTCACCCTCGAATCATACATAATTGCACGATCAATCTTTCAAAATTAGCATCAATAGTGATGCGAGTAATTGCGCTCCACGAACAAAAATGCTTGCCTGTTCCATTGCGTTCGTTTTAATCCATTGAGCTTTCTTATTAATTGAACTAGAACCTCGACGCTGCCTGTTCAAATTTCATTTGGTCAAATTGGCCAAACGGTATTAGTTTTAGTGACGACTGAATGCGAGAACCCGAGTTTGCTCTACGCCAGGTCAAGGGCTGGAGTTGCTCACCCGCTTATAGATGGCCGCGTTGAAGATGACCAGGGCGAGGAACGGAAACAGGTAGCAAATGAAGAAGTACATCCAGTGGACGTAGAGGGTAACGTACAGGTCGTTGTTCCTGAGCTCCGCCGGGTACACACACAACACCGTCACGTTGTACTTCCAGTGGACCTCCGTGTAGAAGTCTATCTCCCAGAATCTACGAGCAACGCGGACAATGTTCAAGCATGTTCTCGAATTGCGAGGTCGCCGGGAAGCGGACGTATACAGTGACTACGATTAATACCTTTTAAAACGCAATAACAGTTTTAGAACTCGACTGAACGACTTGAATTTTGTTTTAAATTACAGAGGTCTACTAGACCATAACTAGAATACCCTTTTTTTTTAAATGTTGCTATTGCTTAGAATGACAAAGGAAAATAAAAAGCTCACGTTTTTTAATTTTCTTATCTCAGCAAAATTTAAAGAAAAGAATTCTAGTTATGGTCTAGTGGACTGGTCTTCGTATAAAAAAAATTCAAATCGTTTATTAGCCCAATCCTAAAAGAAGTTACAGTAATGTCTCTCTAATTGACGCTCACGTTGTCCACAAAAATGGACAATTTGGGATGAGGAGATACGGTTATTTGAGCCTTGTGGCTTGTTTTTTATGGTTATCGATTGTCAACAATTGTACAAACGAGCTGCAAGGCTCGAATAATCGTATCTGCTCTTCCCAAATTGTCCATTTTTGTAGACCTGTCTCTTATACACATCTAGATGTGTATAAGAGACAGGTCTACAAAAATGGACAATTTGGGAAGAGGCTGTCTCTTATACACATCTAGATGTGTATAAGAGACAGGTCTACAAAAATGGACAATTTGGGAAGAGGCTGTCTCTTATACACATCTAGATGTGTATAAGAGACAGGTCTACAAAAATGGACAATTTGGGAAGAGGCTGTCTCTTATACACATCTAGATGTGTATAAGAGACAGGTCTACAAAAATGGACAATTTGGGAAGAGGCTGTCTCTTATACACATCTAGATGTGTATAAGAGACAGGTCTACAAAAATGGACAATTTGGGAAGAGGCTGTCTCTTATACACATCTAGATGTGTATAAGAGACAGGTCTACAAAAATGGACAATTTGGGAAGAGGCTGTCTCTTATACACATCTAGATGTGTATAAGAGACAGGTCTACAAAAATGGACAATTTGGGAAGAGGCTGTCTCTTATACACATCTAGATGTGTATAAGAGACAGGTCTACAAAAATGGACAATTTGGGAAGAGGCTGTCTCTTATACACATCTAGATGTGTATAAGAGACAGGTCTACAAAAATGGACAATTTGGGAAGAGGCTGTCTCTTATACACATCTAGATGTGTATAAGAGACAGGTCTACAAAAATGGACAATTTGGGAAGAGGCTGTCTCTTATACACATCTAGATGTGTATAAGAGACAGCCTCTTCCCAAATTGTCCATTTTTGTAGACAATCCGAGCGTCAATTAGGGAGACATTACTGTATTGCGTTTTTAAAAGGGCGTCCGAATATTAATCAGAGCCACCGAATGTACATCAGAGGGACCACTAACTTCGGTAGATTATAAACGAAGGAAAATATCACGATAACCAGCACAGCCAGCTGAGCCCGGCCGTACGTGCAGAAGGACCTCGCTTTCAGGGGATGACAGACCGCGATGTATCTCTCCAGGGTCACCGTTAACGTCAGGTACACCGTCGCAATCTGCGCCATGCAGGACAGAGGGTACAGGAACCGAACGATCTTCGGATAAACGATGAACTTGTAGTCGAACAGCAGCCCGGTGTACGCGTAGATCGCCGGCAGCCCGTAGATCAACACCTGGAACCGAAAGTTTCGAAATTCAACGCTCGCAAAGGTCACGCGTCCAGAGCGGAAAGCACAGGTGTTCGGGACAAGACCCGGACGCGACAGCCCCGATTTTCCCGAAGCAGCTGGAAATCGTGCACGACCCGTCGAACACCCCCGGGGATCTCTGCATCGACCTCGAGAAGTTCATTTGGCGATGAGACTGCTTAGGTTTACGTAACGCGACGGCGTAGGATATTTTCCGCGGGCAAACAGCTCTCTTACTCCGCCGTTACTCTCGAGCTACTTTTATCGGGATCTTGCAAATCCGCAACGGCGACGTTGATCTCGGCGATCCGAAGTTTATCGAGGAAACCGTTTGAGAAAGTCCGAGCGAACTGGCGCGCACAAATCACGAGCGGTTCGTGGATCTTTGCGCGAAATAGGGAGCCGAACAGAAAAGTCTCCCTCTCTCTCTCTCTCTCTCTCTCTCTCTCTATCTCTGTCTGTCTCTTTCGTAAGCGACATTGGTAAGGTGGAAACGACATTCCCGTTCGTTTCGGTCGCAAAGTGCATAAAACCAGCAGTCGAATTTCGACGGCGCGCGTATCCGACGTTAATTCCGAGCGGGAGATGTACAAATCCTTCGAGGCTCGGCGCGATAAATTCCGGGACGTTGGTCGTCGCCGCTTGTAAACTCGCCGGGGTTGGAACGTTTAGACGCGGGCATCGATTTCTGTATTCTTTCATTCCCCTTCTTAGGCTCCCGGAATTTATGGCGCCACTACGGCCAACCCTTTTAAGGCGCTCTTCCGGCGCCGGTAGTGCTCGCGTAAATCGTTAGCCGCCCCGAGGAGTCCCCCCCGAGACCGTTCGCGGAATAAAACGGAGACGACTACGATGGAAGCGGACTCACCGCGATCACGATCAGGATCGTGTCGCATCTGGCTAGGCCGATCAGCAGGTAGTTGATCGACGACTTCATCTGCGGCCTCGAGAGGATGATCATCGAGATCGCGTTCCCGAATATGCCGAACAGGCCGATCACGTTGACCAGCACGCCGGCGATGATGAAGTCGAACAGCCCGGTCGCGTCGATCTCCTGTTTGCACTCGAGCGGCGTCTCCGTGCTGGCCCGATCGATCGGCAGATGAGTCGAGGACAGTCCGACATCGTAGTAGCTGTCGGTGAACGCTTCGTAGCTCGTCTCCATCGTTTCCGGCTACTTTCGTCGCGCTTCTTCGCCCGTCTCGTCATCAGCTTCCACTTCTCGCCACTATCTATCGACCGTTCGATCTCACGTTACCCCGCATTTTCCAAAGCGATCCCCATTCGATCCTCGATCGGTCTCTGTCCTCGATCCTGGGGAGCAGTCTATTCGCCGTAGAACCGTGTTCCGGACAATTCGCGAATCGCCGATCGAATGGAATCTCGCAAATCGCGTCCCGCGATTCGGCTCTCACTACCTTTCGACCTTGCGAGAGCCGAGCGCCGACGATCTCGGCACCATGACGAGGATCTCACCGCCTCGGATCCGTAATCTCGGTCTCCGCCGCCTCTCTCGCTGGCCTCCTCCTCCTCCTCCACCCCCAAGCGTCGCCGAGTCAATTTCAATTTGTCCAATCTCGATGGAAGTTCCAGCTCGCAGTCTTCCCGTATGTACATCTGCAACGTGTCGTGATTCCGCGGTAATTCCCACGGGGCCTCGCTGCTCCGGCTTCTCCCCGGGAAACTGTAATCAAAAAGAGAATGAGATATTGGAGGCGAGCCATCCAAGCCTAAGCTGTCCGTAACGATACGGCGGCTGACTAAGGCGGTTTCGGCCGAGTTAATTAACGGATCCAGCCGGATTCTACGTCTCGAGGATGTACGGCGAAACAACGGTCATAATATGAGCCGTTTATTTTGAAAGTGGCATAAGTCACTTTTTCGAAAAAATCGAGTTAATGGTAACACTAATTACAATTGAACGGTATCTTTTCATTTAAAAAAAGAAAAAAGAAGTGAGTTATGCCACTTTCAAAATAAACGGCTCATATTTTACCGGCGAGAAAACTGGTCTTGGAACGATTCGTTCGGGACGAAGGACCAAACAATAATTTACGCATGCTGGACAAACGCTATCGTCGCGTTTTAACACTTCGGTATACGATTTTTCTCGCTTCTACAGGAATCAATAGGCCGCGGATCTCTATGCAAATGAAAAATTATTTTCGTTAATTGCAAGATGCAGGAACTGCGCAGACATTTATTTTCTTCTGTGGTAATTCTTATAATTCGACGTTAGTGCAATAATATTTTCGAATCGTTCAAATGCTTTTGTTATCTTGCATTTGATCTGGCCACTGTTGTCATAAATGCGTAAGATCCACGGTTTAGTAATTACGAATTTTTTTCTCCTTAACATATCCTTGAAATGGGGAAACTTATGTTTATCGTGTGTCCGCATTAACTTTGGCGATCAAGTATTGATAACAGACAAATTGACCTTCGAGTCGCGGGCAACGTGGAATTCGCGTTCTAAATATTTTGTAAAATTTAGCAAAACGTAAATTTCAAATTCAAGACAATTTTTTATTTCTTTTATTTCTCTCTCTATATATATTCTTTTTAATTGAACTAGCCCGCGGTTAGAAAAATTAAGTCTTATTCCGTTTTAAAATAGGCGAACAACGTCTACGTGTAGCAGGTTCCGTTGAACGTCCGACGCGATGCCACAGTGCAAGGATCAATATTATGTCAATCGGTCCAACGATATCAAATGTTTCATCGAATTAAAGTATTTTATTTAGCCGAACTGAAATCGAGAAGACAAGTTTTTCCATGGCATCAATTACTATTTTCAGCTCCATTATCTTTCGCGGATTTCAATGGAATTAGACAGAAATTAGCGTGGAAATTAATTTTCAAATACGTGCTAATTATTTCGTCGAACGCACATCGATGACGCCACTCTCCTGTGACGAAACAATTCGACAAAGGGAACTCTCGCGCGACCGAATATTACACTACAAATTGCGAGTCTATTGCGCCGTTATTACACGACAGGCTCTATATTAATTTAACTTTCCTGTCGCAGGCAGGATTTCATTGCAGCCTGCAAGGATTCCGAGGTAAAGGGACGCATTTCGATCGCAAGAGGACAACACGGGGATCGTCATTGCGCCGTCGACAGAGGGTGCCGGTGAGTTTGGTGGCCTCATCCGATTGTACACAATGCCGATATCATTAGACACAAAACGTAGACGTTCACCTCGACTCTACTTTGTAAACAGAGAGAGAAAGAGAGCGTGGAATAACCGAAATGCCCGCGAATGACGGCCGCGACAGCGATTTTGTGGTAGTTCGCGCGTGGTGTCGTCGATGGCCACAGTATTTCGAGCGTCGGGTGCACGGTGTAACAAGGAAACGCGCGAACATGTTTATCGCCGATGGGAACGTGATCGTTCGGAGCCAGGCCACTCGGCATCGGTAAGTCGAAAATCCTTGCGCGACTTTGATTCGTTTTCGAGTCGGGCACATCGATATCGCGATTGAACGGGGGCGGCGTGCGATCGGCCTCGCCAGGCGTTTTAGCGAGTCGATCGAGCGCTGATTGGCACGCGCTCCGACCTACAATTTGCGTCCTTTCCTAATTTCCGCGCGGTTGATTTTCCACATACATAGGTGTGCGGAGGGACGTGGTTTTCTGCCTCCGGGATTCTACGGCCGCGCCGAATGCACGCATCGGCGAGCCGTTGTTTTCCAGCGAAATCTGTCAAACTCCGCTTAAATTCGCGCCGGAACATCGATCGCGCGATACGTTTTAGCAGTTTACGGTACTGCATCGACATTTCCGTCCGACAACGTCGCCGACAATCCTCGATCGGAGCTATCGTCCGCGCGAGGACGATCGTAAGCGGATCACGCTTTCGTTCGACGGCGATAAATATTTTTTACTAGTTCCGTGTAATTAGGCGGTGATGTGTGGACGAAGCGAATTTTCGAACTCGACCTTCTCGGACACTAAGCTCCGAACGAAAAAATTGTTATTCCCCATTTCCGTCGGAATTTCTTTTTTCATGCGAAATCAGCCGGTGCACATTCGCATGTATTGTTTAGTGCCCAAAAATTATTCCACAAGCGGGAAATGTGGGGTTCCTGAGGCCATTTGAAGTAACTTTTTCCTTGGCGAAAATGCAATCTGCGGCTTCGTTTGCGAGTTATTAACCCTTTGCACTCGAATGGTGACTCCGAGGCACCACTGAGATTTGTTATATTACGTTCTAAGATCATTTTTACATTAACAAAGTTTAGATTTAATTCTTTGCACTCGAAGCTATTTTAATTATATTTTAAATATATTTTCTGATCTACAGTGTTTCTATTTTATATGATTTATTGCGATTTATGCATATGAAAGCCTATTGGCAAGTACAAAACTTGCAATTTTAAGAATCTTTTAGATGTAAACGAGTCTGATACTATTACAATTAGTTTGAAAAATAGTATAGCAACTTTCGTTCGAGCCTTGTGGCTCGCTTTTTTATGGTTATCGATTGTCAACAACTATAAAAACGAGCTGCGAGGCTCGAATAATCGTATCTCCCCTTCCTAAATTGTCCATTTTTGTGCACAATCTGAGCGTCAATTAGGGAGACATTACTGTTGTCACTTTTTTCGTTAATAAATCGTAAACAAAGCCGCGGATTGCTTTTTCGCTAAGGAAAAAGTTACTTCAAATGACCTCAGGAATCCCTCATTTCTCGCTTGTACAATAATTTTGGGAAGGCTCTGTATAAGTGAATTTGGATCACAGTGGCGTAAATCTCAGTTTCCTCGTTGGGAGAAACAAGGAGTGCTATTATTGTTTACCAATTACAAAGTTTACTAAAGTTGTAACATGCGTATCGTTTACCGACCAAATTGATTGTTTATCTATTTAATCGTTATCCGGGCAAATATCCATTAGTACACAATATTGAAGAACGTGTATAGAGTCACGATGGAGAACAAGATTTACAGAAGAAGAAAGAAATGCAACAGAACTGCGTGCAAGATAAGTAGGTCATAGACTGTAAGCTCGGTTTCTAAAGGAAGAGATCTCAGCACGAAAAAGTTTTTGTGATGAAAGTTTCATTGGAAACACCGGATTGTAGCGTATTAAAAAAGCAAAGAAAACAGAAAAGATACAATAAAAATAGATGACACAACAGAAAAAGAAAGGCACAACAGAAGATGAAGTGATCGAGTTATTTAAATAATGAGAAACGGATGAAACGAAAGGAAATAATACGGGAAATAATACACGAAGAGAATAATAGAGAAAATGTGACTTATGCCACTGAAAGGAAGAAAAACCGCAGATTTGTTCCGCGGAACAGGTGGCCCTTGTAAAAGGATCCGCCGAGTAGAACGGCCGTTTCTCGGGATAAAGAAAAGTTCGAGATCCGAGCAAGCGACTCGAGTTCCGTCCTATTTTGTTTTCTCGCTATTTACATGCGAAACGGCGGAACCAGTTCTGTCGGCAACGTTTACGTCCCCCAATTAAACTTTCGCTCGGAGGGCAGGTGTTCCTGTTAATTGTCGTTCCAGCGAACTTCCCGCTTCCTGTCTCCGATAAATTATTAGGAGAAGTAAATCGTTTAAATGTTTGCTTCGATATGATTTCGGCGCAGGACCGCGCCATCTCTAGAAATGAACTCGGGGAACTAATTTGCCAGCTGGGTGCGGGACCATTGTTGTTAACGAAGCGCGGTCGAGCGCGCGCGGGCTGGTCCTCTCGCAGCTCCGGGGCCTTCAAAGCGTCACGGAAACCCTCGATTCCGAGATCGATCGCGAACCGCTCGCTCGGAAAGTTTGCCGGCCGAGTCGACGACGGCTTGTACGGCCGCCCACGCGACAAACGTGCCAGCCTTTTTTCGCAGATTTATTCCGGGCGCCACGCTTCGAACTTTGACTTCGACGCGGCCGCCAATATTCCGGGATTCTCTGCCGGCCAAGGAAAAGTTCCGCGCCGGGATTTACGGGGCTCCGCGTCAGCACGAATCGGCCGCCGAGCGGTATACAATTTTCGCGCGGACCGTTTTGATACTGTCCCGCGGATGATACCGCTCTGATCCGCTCGTTCGGATTCACCGAACGATTTCTCCCGGCCCGTACACTTTCTCCTTCGCCGATCGTTATCGCCCATTAACTTTGGGACTCCGCGCGAAATGCCGTATCTTCCTCGGAATTTATCGTGTGCTCGATTCGTGTTTCTTTCCGAGGTCCATCGAGCAGCGTTAACCTTCCTATAAAACTGCAGTGGAACCTCGGTTATCCGAGACCACCGTGTTTATCCGAGATACTTTGGCATCTGCAACGGAGTCTCGGTTAGTCGAATTGGTCCTCCGTTATCCGAGATGCGAATCTTACGTATGTATATTATGTACGCCATCGAGCACAAGTATTTGAACACTTGTACATTATTGTCAAAGTGTGAGTTATATTATTAACCCTTTGCGCTCGAGTGGTGACTCTGAGGCACCACTAAAAAAAATCGTCACACCACGTTTCAAAATAATTTTTATATTATCAAAGCTTAGATATAAAAAAAAGTTGGCAAAAGTCTAACTGTTGTACAAGTCACCAAGGACTCGATTTCATATGCATGAAATGCGCTTTGTCGTATAAAATGGAAATATATTATAAGTCAGAAAAATTAATTTAGATTTACAGTTAAAATGGCTTCGAGTGCAAAGGGTTAATAAAACCCTCCATTACAAATTTCATAATAAGAAGCCTGTAAACATCAAAGAATATGTAACGTAACGTGTACGTTTGTTGAAAAGGGAAAGCATTAATTAAAATCGGTGTAAAATTGATTTTGCGGTGACGCTTAAGTTTGTCAAAAAAGATATCATAAGTCAGAAAAATTAATTTAGATTTACAGTTAAAATGGCTTCGAGTGCAAAGGGTTAATACAACCCTCCATTACGAATTTCATAATAAGAAGCCTGTAAACATCAAAGAATATGTAACGTAACGTGTACGTTTGTTGAAAAGGGAAAGCATTAATTAAAATCGGTGTAAAATTGATTTTGCGGTGACGCTTAAGTTTGTCAAAAAAAATATCATAAGTCAGAAAAATTAATTTAGATTTACAGTTAAAATGGTTTCGAGTACAAAGGGTTAATACAACCCTCCATTACGAATTTCATAATAAGAAGCCTGTAAACATCAAAGAATATGTAACGTAACGTGTACGTTTGTTGAAAAGGGAAAGCATTAATTAAAATCGGTGTAAAATTGATTTTGCGGTGACGCTTAAGTTTGTCAAAAAAAATATCATAAGTCAGAAAAATTAATTTAGATTTACAGTTAAAATGGTTTCGAGTACAAAGGGTTAATACAACCCTCCATTACGAATTTCATAATAAGAAGCCTGTAAACATCAAAGAATATGTAACGTAACGTGTACGTTTATTGAAAGGAGAAAGCATTAATTAAAATCGGTGTAAAATTGATGTTGCGGTGACGCTTAAGTTTGTCAGAAAAAATATCATGTTGTTGGAAGTTAATTTTATATTAGCTAATTAGTTAATTTTATAACAGCCACACATACGCTTTTCAAAGAGATTACAACAGCTGACTGGTTAACATTAAACCTATCACCGTCGGTCAAACGACCGGGGTTTCACATTTTCGACTTCATAATTTATTGAAGTCGTAAAGCTGCTTCCCTTAAAAATTGTCGAATATATTTTGTTTCTTTAGGCGCACATTATTATGAAAATTGTGTAAAATTTGAACAAACCCTATCTTGTAATTCTTACGAGGCAATTTTTGTCAGTCGCTTTCAGATCTTGGTAAATTTAATGTTAAAAGCTGTTCACAACTGCACTTGATCTACGTTTCTCTTCTTTCTCTTTCCGCGTACTTCTTCCTCTTTCATTTGTTTCCCCTCTACGATCCTCGTTCAACTTAATTTGTTCCTATGTCAACACTAATAAGTTTACGACCCGCATAAAATAAATAATAATAACAGCATCTGGTAGTTTACCAGATTCGGTAATTGCCGGCAATTGCGAACCAAGCGGCGAAAAGTTACAAGCGCCATTGTAGATATTCAGCTTGTATTTTCCCGAACAAAGAGTTAAGTAAAGCAAGATACGAGCCGACTCGCGCGAACGCAAACTGCAATTGCGAAGTTAGCCGCCGCAAGCCGGGAGATCAAGCTGCCGAAAACGTAGGCGAAAATGGATAGGAGTCTCCGTCGACCGCGGGTTTCCATGTTTTACGCAAGCACCGCGCGAGGGTAAGCGTAATTCGCAAACTCTTGTCGCGGTCTCCTAACTTCCTCGCGATTATTTGATCCGCGTTCCCACGGTCGCGGAGAAGTCGCGCCGAAATCCGATCTCGGAATGACTATGTGTGTACAATCATTTCTCCCGGAAATGCCAAATTTCGGGTTTCCCTGAATTTCCCTGCGCTAGTCCTACGCCTATGCG